CCAGCCCGCAGCCACAGCGGTGGCTCGTTAACACCTGTGATGATTACACTGCAGTTTCCGCACCAGTTTAAGCCAGCTTAAGCCAGCCCCGTTGCCCCCCCATCCCCTCCCGTCCCAGCCTGTCGCTTCCCACTCCTAACCCAGACCCACTCCCCCATGCAGCCGCCCATCCAGCCACAGGGGTGGGCACGCCTGCGCAAAAGCAGAGATGACATCGGGTTATGCCCTCCACCAGTCACCAGCGACTCGGGCAGTGGTGACAGCAGCAGACCCCGTGCCCTCGCCCCCGAGGACGGGGAGAAGGGGGGACCAGAAGACCTGCCTTCCTTCACAGAATCACAGAATCACAGAATCACAGAATAGTAGGGGTTGGAAGGGACCTCTGTGGGTCATCTAGTCCAACCCCCCTGCCGAAGCAGGGTCACCTACAGCAGGCTGCACAGGACCTTGTCCAGGCGGGTCTTGAATATCTCCAGAGAAGGAGACTCCACAACCTCCCTGGGCAGCCTGTTCCAGTGCTCCGTCACCCTCAGAGGGAAGAAGTTCTTCCTCATGTTCAGACGGAACTTCCTGTGCCTCAGTTTGTGCCCATTGCCCCTTGTCCTGTCACTGGGCACCACTGAAAAGAGCTTGGCCCCATCCTCCTGACACCCACCCTTCAGATATTTGTAGGCATTTATAAGGTCCCCTTGCAGCCTTCTCTTCTTCAGGCTGAACAAGCCCAGCTCCCTCAGCCTCTCCTCGTAGTGGAGATGTTCCAGTCCCCTCACCATCCTTGTAGCCCTCCGCTGGACTCTCTCCAGTAGCTCTTCATCCTTCTTGAACTGGGGAGCCCAGAACTGGACACAGTACTCCAGATGAGGCCTCACCAGGGTAGTGTAGAGGGGAAGGAGAACCTCCCTTGTCCTGCTGGCCACACTCTTCTTGATGCACCCCAGGATCCCATTGGCTTTCTTGGCAGCCAGGGCACACTGCTGGCTCATGGTTAACCTGTCGTCCACCAGGACACCCAGGTCCCTCTCCGCAGAGCTGCTCTCCAGCAGGTCCCCCCCAAGCCTGTACTGGTGCATGAGGTTGTTCCTCCCCAGGTGCAGGACCCTGCATTTGCCCTTGTTGAACCTCATCAGGTTCCTCTCTGCCCAGCTTTCCAGCCTATCCAGGTCACGCTGAATGGCAGCACAGCCTTCTGGTGTATCTACCACACCTCCCAGTTTGGTGTCATCAGCAAACTTGCTGAGGGTACATTTGGCTTCGCCAAAGCCCATTTCAAAGGTGGCACCCCACCTCTGGGAACCCCTGAGCCCCTTGCATGTGGGAAGGGATCCCAGCTGGTGGGCGACAGGAACACGCCTTGCGATGCTGATAAAGCCTCGTACGCCCCTGGCCTCACAGACGTGGCCGTCATCACCCAGGGAACGGGGGTTGCCCAAGTTTAGGTCTGTTTGCCTTTTGGATGGCACAATTTGGATTCCCCCTTTCCCTAGAGGGGTCGGTAATGTCAGATGCTGAAGGAGAGGAAATGCTGCTCTGGTTCTGCAATTCCCATCCTCTGCCCTTCCTTCCAGCAGCTACCCCTGCTCCTGCCAGGGCTGCCAGCAGAAGGCCTGGATCTGGCTGGTGCCCAGGGTGGGTCGGTGTCGGGGGGCTGTTAACCCTGCACTGGCACCTGTGGAGGGTTCCTGCCCTGCTCCTTCTAAAGGCAGCTTCCCCTTCCACCCAGAACACCAGATTTGGGGCACCACTTTCAAGAAACCCCCCACCTTCGGAGAGAGACAAGAAGGCGGGGAGGGAGATCTCTTAAAACGCCAAACAGAAAAAGGGAAAAAAGCAAATAAAAGAGACAAAACCTATGGCATGATTCCTGGAGCGGCAGCAGACATCAGCAGCAGAGCCGGCCGTTGCTAGGAATAGCGATTAACCCCTTCCTAACCCACGCACCCCCCAGCCCCACGCCAGGCATCCCCGGGAAGGGGCGGGCGTGTGGCTGAGCGGAGCCACGGCCCCGG